CACCGCAATTGAGATTTGACTCATTTGATTTTCCAAGTTTTGGATGCTAGATTTCGTCGTCTCTTGGAATTGAGCCACACTTTGTTGCATCGTTGACATATTTGTAGCAAGTGCTCAGATCATGTCTTCGGTGGACATATTTGAGCTTGAGGTTTGGCCTTGGTGATTTGGGAAGGATTGTTGAAAGGGCTGATTTTGTTGTGGTTGAGGGTTACCATATCTCAAATTCGGGTGATCTCTCCACCCGGGGTTGTAAGTGTTAGAGTGTGGATCATACCTCTTTTGTTGATGAGATTGAAAACCCGAGGCATTGACTTGTTCTTCTTGGAGAGTTGGGCGAGAATCGGTTGGATGCCCTTGCTGTGTGCATATGCCGCAGACCTTGACCTCTTGGTTTCTAGGATTTAAAAGGAAATCCTTAACCAAAGAAGTCAAGTCGGCCATTTGACTTTCTAATGATGGAGATGATTTCGCCGCGGCAACTTTTCGGGTTAAGGACCGCCCGTTGTAATGCCTGGAGTTCTCGGCTAACTCCGAGATCAAGCTTGTTGTTTGTGAGGGAGTTTTGTTAACAATGCCACCCCCAGAAGCGGCATTCACCATTCTTCTATCATCATCAACAAGACCATCGTAAAAGTAGAGTATGAGGTCTTGCTCGGTGTAGCCATGATAAGGGCAGCTAGCACATAACTTTTTGAACCGTTCCCAATATTCATATAAGGTCTCATCATCTTTTTGATCAATGTTACTTATTTGGTTTTTCAAAGATGATGAGATGGAGGCGGGGTAATACCTTTCTAGGAAGCATTTCTTCATTGTCGCCCATGTCTCTATGCTTCCTGAGGGAAGTTAGAATAGCCAATCCTTAGCCGTTTCCTTCAGTGAGAATGGAAAGGCCCTCAGCTTGATTTGCTCTTCTGTAACATTATTTGGTTTATATGAAACTCCGCAAGATGTTTGTTTGCATCCTCGCCCCTTAGGCCATGAAATGAAGGGAGTAGATGAATGAGGCCCGATTTGAGCTCAAATGTAGCACATTCATCAAGAGTGGGGAAGGTGATACATAGAGGTTATTGATTTAAGTTAGGAGCCGTGAGCTCCCTCAATGTTCTCGTCTCAAGAGCCATAGTTATTGGCTCTTCGTTCTCGCTAGAATAAGAACTAGCGCTTGATGATTCCTCCGAAGAAGTATTTGGAAATAAATTCCTAAACCTCTCGAAGGCTTGTTCTGTCTCAGGGTTTGTTTGGTAGGTGATTTGGTTTATAGATCGGGTTCTAACTATATACTCAAACAAAGATATAGAAATCTTTCTATATATTTTTTTTTTAATAAAATAAAAAGAAAAATTAATTGCCTTTCCCCAGTAACGGCGCCAAATTTGACGTGCACTTTGTCGTGTATGCACTCAAAATAATAATCAATACAACACTAATACGTAGTATAGTGTAGTAAGGTTCGTATCCATAGGGAAAGGAATACTTTTCTTTTTATAGAACTAGTAACAAAAAGGGGGGTTTTAGTTTGATTTGGTTTAATTAATTAAACACGAAGATGAACGACTTATGTGGTTTACTTAATAGAGATGAAGACTTGGCTTTGCTTTTATCCACTTAATGAAATGTTCGTCGATCCCGGTTATATCTTTAACTATCTTCCTCACGAATACTCAATCGAGAAGTATATCCAGTTCATCGAGGGTAGTTATTAATAACGAGACGCGTTCATTAATAAAACTTACTACCGAGTCAATATAGAACACGTGTCGTATATTAACCCAATAGTAGCAATAAAATCAAGATGAAAATGATTGAGATTGATAACCTCAACACAAGCGGTTTATTGGTTTAATCAACATAATTAATTTATTCCCCTGGGTTTATTAACCATGAAACGCATGCATTAATAACGCAAGTTTACTACCGTGAAACGATCGAACGATTAACAAGCGTATTCGTCAATCGATTCTAGTAATAATTAATATATGAAACAAAACTTGTTGATCCTTTAAGTAATGTTCAAAATATTAATATGAAATATGAATAGGAATTAATTAATACTCAAGGAAGAATACTAAAGAAGATGAATCCTACTATAGTTAATATCAAGATGTTAACTAATTGTCATCTTAGTAACACTCCCCAATATTAACATAGAGGAAGAAATAACTATTACTATAACTAATGTCAAGATGTTAACTAATTGTCATCTTAGTAACACTCCCCAACATTGATATAGAAATAGTATTTAAAGGAAGAATTAATATTCAAGGAAGAATATTAAAGAGAATAACTCACAACTTACAAATTCATTAAGCTTCAAAGTGGCAAAACCAAGATGGAAGAGTTTAGCTCCTCATTTGGAGACTAAACATGCTAGAAAAATATAAAAGAAATACTATTCTAAACTGAGCTTAAGAGTATGGAAGAAGGAATGGAAATTAGTGAAGGAAAAGTGTGCTATTTATAGATGTTTTTCAACTCCTTGGGCCGGGTACCTGACCGGGTCAAGTTCCCACCCGACCGGGTGCATGTCAAGATCAGATAATCTCTCACGTTCTTGTGTTTTAGCACGTTAAAAATGTCCCGGGAAATTTCCTGAGCTTCTTCGTTTGTTAAATCTTACCCGACAGGGTCAAGTGTTATACCCGGTCGGGTTTTAGCTCCTGGAAAGTCCAATCTCCTTATTCTTCACTTCAAATCTTCCTTTCCAACACTATAAATCCTAACTCTACTTTACAACTTACAAGTGAGAACTAAAATACAATTACAACTAAAATCACACAAATGTTTACAAACTAAATAAAATGGTAAACAATCCACACAAATCAAACATAAAAACATAAACTTATGTACTACTAATTAGTGCATATCAAGGGGCATGGGTAAATGGCAGCGGTGGGGTGGTGGTGTCAGCAGGGTGGTTGGTGGTGACAACTAGTCATCGATACACTGACATGTTTAACAGTGGCAGTAACATCCGTAAATGACATGAAAATCTGGCATTGACAACTCTTAATGACATGAAAAAATCACGCTTACATAATTTTTTACTGTGACATTATGTTTACTAAATATAAGATTTTGTTGAATAAGAAAAAATGCTTTGTCATTATTAACTCCATGTCTCAATTTATAATTTTTCTACCACTTTGTTAATAATACGGAGCGAGAGTCCCTCTCAAGATCTTCGGTTATTCCTAGGGCTCGGCCGCTAGGGTTAGTATCTCCGATCTCGGATCTTTACCGAGGATCGATAATTGCACAGCAGGGGAGACGATTCAGGCGAAGAGCAGTCCGGATTCGTAGGGGCGAAGAGCGAGGGGCAGAATCGAGGAAGCCGTTTCGGACGAAGAGGTCGCTGCATGGAGGATATTGTTGCTTCGTATAAGAAGATGTCGATGAAGGAGCAGGATAACGAGTTGAATTTCAACAAGGAGACAGAGGAGGACGGCGAGGAGGAGAAGGAACCGGCGTGCTTTCCGGTGGTTGGGGTTGTCATCACCGACCGCAAGGTTAAATTACCTGGGTTTCAAGAGTTGATGTCTTCTATCTGGAAACCGGGGAAAAGTATGTCTATCAAAGAGATCAGCGAAAGAAGGTATCTGCTAAACTTTAATCATGCTTTAGATATGAACCGTGTGATTGAGGATGGTCCTTGGCTTTTTGAACGGGATTTAATACTGTTGAAAGTTGTTCAACCAGATGATATACCTGAATCGATGAATTTATTTGAGGCTAGTTTTTGGGTACAGGTTCATAATGCCCCTATAAAGTATAGGAATTTGAGATCTGCTAGGAAAATTGGTAATTTTTTAGGCCCTTTTTATCAAATTTAAGATGAGTCAATTTGATGGATAGCAGAGTTCTTATGTGCGTATAAGGGTGTGTCTGGATGTTCGTAAGCCTTTGAAAAAAGGTACTAATTTGACACAGGATGGGGTGAAACATTGGGTAGATTTTAAATACGAAAAACTACCTAGTTTTCGCTTTATATGTGGTATAATCGGACATTCTGATAAATTCTGTCCATTGAAGTATGAAGAGGGCTTCGTAGCTGAAAAACATATGGGGTGGGACTTAGAGCAGAAGGAAGGGTGAAGACCAACCCAACAGGATTCAACAAATGGTTATCTGATAGAGCCTCTAGTTCAGATGGATATGGAGGTCAGCGGAAGGCTGATCTCGGGGGAGAATATATGGCCGAGTCCAAGACTAGCAAGCCATCACAGCATGAGATTGAAGACAAGGAAGAGACTCCTGGAGACCCAAAGCGCAAAAGGATATGGGATAGTCAGACTGAAGAGTGTACCAATGACGAAGGAATGGCTCTGGATGGGCCAAAAAATGGGGAGGGGGTGGGTCAAGTCTCTTAGACCCGCCGTGTCTTCATTTGGTGGTGGTGGGGAAGAACATAAGTGATGGTGTTTTTCTTATTGCCCGTTTTGTTTATTTTAATTTCGGATGCTTTGTTCTGTTTTTCTTTTGTGTTTTCATTCCTTGTAAGACTCTTGCATTAAGGTTGGGGATGGAAAGTCTGCGGTAACCGTCATTGGCTTTAAGTTGCCCAATTTTGGTCTAGCGAGTTATACTGCTTTTTTATAGGTGATTTAACTCTCAGTCTCGGCCACGGGCGGATGGTTATATGTGGTTCTTTTCTAGTTATGTATCCTTGCTGAATGCTATTTTTATGAATTAAGCCTTCTTCGAGCAAAAAAAAAATATAAGATTTTGTTAATGACATTTTTGTCAATATTGAAAAGTAAACATTTTATGGGGAATTACTTCAATATAGTTATATTAGGGGAAATCCCCGAACATTTCCCCAAGTTTATGACTTTTTGTTACACACGTATTACGTATAGTGATTGAAACTTGAAAGTAAGGTTGTCCGTTCTTTTTGCTTTTACAAAATTCAATAGCTTAATCCGTTTATCCGGACGGCCACCGAAGCGAGGATGTACAATCAACAATATCTTAAAAGAGACCTTAAGTGCACTCACCTTAAACTGTTTGGGTAGTTCAGGGACGACAGATCCAACATATGTAATCAAAGGGTGTCCCGAGTGCGCGATTGAGCTCGGCTTTGTTGAGTTCCAGGTTGAATCAGACTCAAAGATGGTTGCTTCGGCTTTCAGACAACGAGATGGGAGATAGATCACATAGGGATTTCAGATCCCTTGTCCGAAATAAAATTGTGTTTAGTCATACCGCTAGAGATGGGAACTGGGCTGCGCACGTTTTAGTAGATCCAAGGGTGAATTTGGGCCAGTCTTATTTGTTTAAAAAGATTGAGGAATTGCCCGGCCCAGCTAGGCAGTTTTACTATTCTGATTTTTTTGGATTTCCCTATTTTAGATACTATTGTATTTTTATAATGGGTCAGGTATAGCCCTCTCATTAGTTTTTTTTTTTTTTGCTTATTTTTGTCCTTTGCGGCTTAAAAAAAATCTAGACATTTTTCTTGACAAAAAAAAGGGTGTCCCGAGTGCTTTTATATTATTTTATTTTATTTTAGAGATAATTTATGTTATGATCAATGTTTAATAGCTCTAGAGTAGCAAAAGTATGCAAAGGGGAATATATGGGCCTCCTTGATTTAAGGGCACAATCATTTCGACCTACCAATTCCCTAGGCTATAAATATGCTATAAATATGCCTTTACAAGAATGGAGTAGCAAACTTTCACAAATATTCCACACCTACGCAGAGAGCTAGATAGCTAGAGAAGTTTTTCGCTAAATATTTTCCTCATCTTTCGGTAAACTTCTTCTATCAATGGAAGACTTCTTCTACTCCCTTTAGAGCTCCATTTCATACATTTCTATAGTAGAAAGAAGGACCCAACATTTTATATGTAGTAGTACGTATGACAAATGGTCCGACGACGCGATAAGAACTATTGACGGGATTTTTGATAGATCTAAAATGAAATGAGGATTTACCTTGAGCAAAACATGACTCTTTTCACAAAATAGGAGTTATTAGTTTAAACATCCTTAATATGACTTTTTTTTATGTTTGGGCCAAAACTAGATTTTCACCCGTGCGATGCACGTATAGAAATTTAGTCCTATATACGCGCATAAATATGTTGCAGCTCTAAACGGATAAAAAAACCTTTAAAATTGAGTTAAAGGAGTTTATGAATAAAGTATAAGATTATAAAGTCGCAAAAAATCAAATTTAATAGAAGTTGGATATATAAAGTAAAAGATTAAGAGCATTTATGTTGACCGAAGAGTTGAAAAGAAATTAATTGAAAAGAGATAATTAATTGAGGGTATTTTCGGAAGAAAATTACGTCATCCTCGGGAATGTCAGATAACCTAAGGCTTGAATGGTATTAATATTCCTCTACAAATTACATCATCGGGAATGCAACTTTCCCGATTTCTCAACCCCACGAACCAAACATTGCCATCAAGCATTCCTTGCATCACATTACTCAAAATAAAAGTTGTCAACAATGTAAAGCCATTGCAAACACTACATGAACACAAATGAAATTACCAAAAACAATTGAATAAATTCAAATTACCAACAAACTCTTAGGCTGATTGAAGTGATGTAGCATCTTCAAGAAATAGCCCCAAGTCTCCAACAAAACTAATCGCATTAGTTGCATATCGCTTCTAAATTCGAGGGAAAGTTCAAAGTTGCAAAAATTAGAGAAGAATTTTTCAATCATATAGGGGAGAACCCGTTCAAAAATGCAGTTTTTTATAAAACATCTTAATGTATATGCAGCACGTAGTATATTTTATAAAGAAATTTATTTGACAACTAATTGACTACAAACAGAAAATCGGAGTGCCCCATTATGCGCTAATAGAATTACATTACATACGCAAATCATTAGCTTATGCAAGCTGGTTCACCATCCAAAAAAATACAACAGGCTCCAATGTGTACAGTGATCTTTTTACATAGTTGTTTCAACACATCTTATACGTAGTAAGTTCAAATGAATAAGCTTGTCACTTTGTCAGGCAACAAAATAGAGTTTCAAATTCAAAAATATGAAAATTTGAGATTGTTTGTAAACTAATACAAAAAACTTGCTCAGCAAATAAGATCAATATCAGATAACGTTCATTTTTAATTTTAGTAATAATGAAAATAACATTGCAATTATAGTTTCAACACCAATTTTTGGAGACATTGTTTTAGCAATAATATTGATAAGCTAAACCTAATTAAAAAAGAAATTATATGAAGAACGGGTCTCGTACAAGAACAATGAAGAAAATGAGAAGTGAGCAAATAAGAGAGAAGTTCAGTGTATTTTTCGAAAAAGAGGGAGTTGTAATACAATAGGGGATGTCATATTTATAGGAAGGGTAGTTAATGCTCTCGGGACTGTTTCGTCCGTTACTAACGGGTTGGCCATCCGTTATGACAATTTTGAATCAGCCATAAAGGTTGGTCAATTACAATTAATACATTCCTTAATCACATTAAAGAGCGTAATAATGCATAAAAACGTTACAATAATTATCATTAAGCTTAGTGAATGCCCCATTAACTCCTGCGGTCAACCCTCTTTAATGCAACATAAACCGTCAAATAATTGCTCTAACAATTGCCCCCTTTCGAGAAGTTGACGAGTACGATGCATGGGTCAGACCGTTAAGTGGCAATTTGTCAAAATTTTGAAAGAGCTTATACTTCGCATCTTGGTTCATTGCGCCTATTGACTTGTCAACGACTTGTCATGACGTATTGATCAACTCATTTGATGAAATGATTCCATCTTTCTTTCTAGTAACTCCCAATCGAATCCGTCAAGATTGCTTAAAATAATGAAGAATGAAAGGTGACAGCTTATCTCCTTTCCTTCAAGACTGTGCTGACGACTGAAAGACAATGAATTAGGACTCCGCCCATATTGATTTGACACTTCGGTTGGCTAAGGGAACTTCGTCCGTTGCTAGAGATGACGAGTTGGGTTGCATGAACGTATTCGATATCCTGCAAAAACTTTGAATACTACTACCTCCGTCCCATTTATATTGTCTCTTTACGGTTTACGATGTTTGACCGACGATAAAGCAAACAGATCCTTGTCCGCACTCAAAATATTTTGAGGAAAAAAATACATATTCAGAAACTACATTTAAAGCTTTACAAAGTCGCAAAACATGAATCAAATTTGATAATTTTTTGATATATAAAGTAAGAAATTAAGAGTGATTTGTGTTGACCAAGTAAATAGGAATTGGGACAATACAAATGGGACGGAGGGAGTATTCTGTTTGTAGTTTTAGCAATATTGTCGTCATGAATGCTTATTATTTATGTCAATGTCGTTCGTATTGTCTCCTTATGTCTTGGAGTTATTCGTTGTCATGCTCTTGGAGCATATGCTTCTGTTGTGTATTTCTGTAGTTTTGGCCAAAACATTGCGGAGAATCGGTGACGTTTATACCAATGTTTAACGTAGATGAAAACTCCACTTCTTCCGCTAAAATTCTGTAAGCCCCACCGTCAATTGTGTTTTGACGTGTTGTCAGGCTTTGTATGATGTATGTTAGGATTCCGTCATCGTCAATTGTTGACTGTACCTGTGTAAAATGGATTTGCCAAGGCTAGCCGTTGGCTATGAGCCAACGGCCCTCCGATGTTTAAGTTAGTAACTAATCATTTGATAAGTTTAAACATAATGATCGAAGTGATTAAAAATGAAAGAGTTTTAGGTGTACCACATTCCAACTTCTAAGAATTTGTTTACCGTCTATTGATTCCAGTCGATATGCTCCCTGTCCGACGACTTCGATGATCTTGTATGGTCCTCCCAATTTGGGCTAAATTTGCCACTTGCTTCGTTTCCAAATGCACGTCTAAAGACTCAGTCACCTTTCTTGGATGGTGGACAACTTGCACTAGATCTTAATAACGTGCTATCTATTTCACAAATACCAAAATCGAGATGAATGGAAGATACCAAAATCACATTATTAATATTGATTGATTAGACTTAATTTAAGTTATAAATGGAAAAGTACGTATAAAAAAAGATCAATTTACATTACGATTGTGCAAACATGCAATTGTAGATAAAATTTGAGAAATTTACCTAATAGAAGTTAAACACAACAAAATTCAGTGAATTTTTTATTTTTTTGTTCTTTTAATAGGATTGCAAATCATATGTTTAGGGAAGAAAACAACTTTATTAATATTTTTTTGTTCTTTTAATAGGATTGCAAATCATAGGATTGCCCCATTTTATTTAGTCAAATTTGATTTATTATATATTTTTACACTGTAATATTGATAATATGAAAAATGATATGGAAATATTTTTATTATAGATATAATTATAAAGTATGAATTTATTAATTTTCACATAAATATATTAGTTAAAATAATGAATCAAAGTTTATAATCGAAAAAGTCAAAAGATGATACGAAGGTAGTAATTAATACTCCCTTTGTCTCTATATAAAAGGCACACTCCTTTTTGGGTTTTCCTTATATAAAAGGCCCATTTCCCTTTTTGGCAAATAAAACAGTGCAAAACAGTGTCAAACAGTGTCCAAACAATGTGAAACAGTGTTCCTCCTAAAGATGTGCGCAAAAGTAAATGAACCTTTTATATAGGGACGGAGGGAGTAGTTATTAAAGGACATATTAAAGTATGTTTACAATTAGGTGTATTACACATTGATGAAAACCTTAATAAAAACTTTTGGTCTACTAAAAGCTAGGAGTACCAATTAATAAAAACTTTCTTCTCTTATCAAACACGCCCTTAAAAGTTCGACTAGCTTAGCTAATTAGCTGGAGTGGTGGAGCTAGGCGGCATGCATAAGGTTGGCGGGGGAGAGGCCAGGTTGACATGAAGAGCTGGCACGTCATCCCCAACTAAAAGTGGCAGGTGGCGCCTCCCAGCCAACGTGTCACCTTCATGGGATGCCACCGCCTTCTCCTCTTCTCTATCTTATTCTGATCGATCATATTTAAAAACCTCCCCGCCGCGGCCATCTACTCGATCATTTACTACGTACATACCCTTTGATCTAATTAAGCACGCCGTTGAAATCCATCAGACCAACCATGGCAGCCATGTCAATCATGACCACCAGCAGGAACGCCATTTTCAACTTCTCCAAATCCCTTTCTCGAACCCCTTCTTCTCTCTACCCCAGACCCAAAGTCTCCAGAGTTTGCTTCTCCTCTGCCTCCACTCCCGAGGTACGTACATACGTATCCATGGCCGGCCCTAGGGGGAGGGCAACAGGGGCGACCGCCCTAGGCCCAAAAAAAAGTAGAAAGAGAATTAGGCCCGAATTTTTTTCTTTACATGTAATCAGAGTAGGCTTCTTTTTTATTTATAATTTCAATTAATTAATTAGGTCTAATATGTAATTTTTGTTGACACTTTGAGACTTTTAAAACATAAGTAAAAAGTGTTGAACAGAGCTAGACAAGTTTTAAAAAAGAATATAAATTTAGTTTTGATTTTTAAATATAGTTGGTTGTAAGTCAACACATTTGTTGTTGAATCAATAAAAGCACGTCTCGTCACATCTTTTTAGCCTTTAAGTTTTTTTTATTCTTTTAATTACAAAATTACCAATTAATATAATTGTCTTTGGGTTGCCAGTGCCTCCCAATTCTCAAGTAGCATCCCAATTATCTATTATGCCTAAAAAACTTAATGGATTAGCAATTGTAAACATTGAACATGTGATCTTGGAAAAGATTGAATATAAAGCAATAATTATTGATAATTCTACTTCACAATGCTCTTTTGTGACACTAGTGTTGTTACTTTTGTTCAAATATGCAATTCAAATAAAATGAGGGTGAATTTCATCTCTATTTTGTAACCTTTATTAGATAGTTGTAGGGATAATTCCTGAAATAGGAGTAATTGTTTATCGAGAATTTCAAAATAGAACTGTCATGTGTTTATTTTCTGAATAGGAGTAATTAATGTCATGTTCGGAAAATACTACCACGTGTAAAATATGATACTATCAAAATATGACAGTAATTACTTCTATTTAGGAAATAAAAACATGATAATCTTAGTTTGGAATATACAAACGTTTTCAGTCATATTTAGAGTAATTTCTCCTGGTTTATTATACTGGTAGTTTTTACTTGAAGTATAATTTACTGTTTGTCCTGAAAATAAGGCCAAAATAGTAATTCGCCCATAGGCCCAAAACTGGACAGGACCGGCCCTGTACGTATCAATTCAATCATTCCTTTTATATGTCATGAGTCCGTATGCATTTGTAGTTATGGATTAATTACTAGTAATTGAAGCAGGGCTTGCACGCGTCGGGGGATTACGGAAGGAGAGACAACGACAAAGGCTACGCCGGCAACAGGACCGTCGGAGATGCGGCGGAAGACATTGCCAACCGGACGAAGGAGAACACGAGAGAAGCGGCGGACAGAACCAAGGAGAAAACCCAAGAAATGGCGGGGAAGGCCAAGGGGAAAGCAGAGGACTTGAAGGAGAGAACAGAGGACGGGGCAGGGGAGGCCAAGGAGAGGGCCAAAGAAGGGGCGGGAAGGATGGCGGACAAGGCCAAAGAGTACGCCCACGAGACGAAGGAGACCACCAAGGAGGCGGCGGGGGCCACGGCGGAGATGACCAAGGAAGGGGCTAACAAGGCGGCGGGTACGGCCAAGGGCGTCGGTCAGAAGGCCAAGGAGACGGTGGAGGGTGCTCTGGGGGCGGTCAAGGAGACTGGTCAGAAAATAAAGGAAACGGTGGTGGGGAAAGCGGAGGAGGACCGCGACGATGGAGAGAAGAGGATTGACGAGCTGAAGAGACGCGCCGCCGGTGATAGGAAAGTGTGAAGGCCGGCCGGCGGCGGAGGCGTGGATTGTACTTGTTTTTAATTAATTAGAGCCGGCCGGAAGCAAATATGTATAATAATAAATGGGAAACGTATATACCTGTATTGCTTCTTTATTTATATACTTCGTATATGTGTGTTTAATTCTCCTCCACCATCAGTGAATCACCATCATAACGTATTTTCTTTTGTTACTTGAAGCAAATATCAGTCTTATTTCTACAATAAATTAATTCTCTTTGGAAACACTAATTGGTCTCGTCTAATTTAATGAATTGAACAGTTTTCACATCCAAATCATATCAGACAAACGATAACAGCATAACTAATGCACTTGCACTTCAATATATCAAACTGGATTTATAAAATCGGAAAACGTATGGGAGGACATTCATAGAATCAGCTACTTCCTCGGCTTAGGGCCTACTCTTACTTCAATATTTTGGGTATTGGATATTGGTGACAACTCCGGTACCCATTTTGTCCAAGGTACGGTATCTTATGGGTACCGTAGAATCTACCTTGGATATTCCGTGGAACTAATTTAAAATTTTAAGTAAAATATTAAACAAGTACAATTAAAACCTGAGATATTACCCAAAATGGGACTAAAAAAGTTTGGAAATTCCAAAATAGGACTTCCATGTTTTTATTCTCAAAATAGGACTAATTACTATCATGTTTTGGCAGTACCAGACTTCAAACATGGCAGTATTTTCCAAATTTGACAGTAAATAAATCTATGTTGCACGGATACGGATACGCCAATACTCTGATACGCGGATACGGGTACGGCGATACGGCACTTTAAAAAATTATAGGATACGGGTACGGGGGTATATTTATAAATAATAAAAATATAGGGTATAATTTGCAAATATATATAATTCAGGAGTTCATAAATAAAATAATAATAGTACAAAAAATTAACTATTATAATAAAGTTTTAAAGATTAGTCTAAAAAAACTAAAGTATTGATATTTTGATTTAAATTCAAATAACATTTTCTTGTTCTCTATTTGCATTTACATCTAAGTCTTGTTTCAATTAAAGCTCATCAAGCAATGAAATGACAAATTATAGTATTCCATTATTTTCCATACTCCCGAAATCATCTTTATCAATTTTCCACATGTTGTGGTCGCTTGGGCGGCTACTGAATTTTCGTCATTTCGTGTATCAAATGAGGGGTTATAGGTTCGGATACGCGTATCGGTTCACGGATACGGGTATCGGAAGTATCGATATTTTTAAAATTAAGCCCGGTACTTTTATTGAATTACGGATACGGACCCAATACATACAGGACGTGTATCGGTGAGTATCGGATACGGATACGTATCGGATACGCGGATACGGCATCGAGGTGAAGTATCGGTGCTACATATGCAGTAGTTAGTCCTATTTTGGGAATAAAAAAATGACAGTCCTATTTTGGAATTTTCATTTAGTCCCATTTCGGGAACTTTCCCTTAAAACCTTAAATTAGAAGAGGTTGTGTGTGGATTACAAATGATGACTCCAAGTGCAAATGTGCAATTAGAACCTTGAATTAGAGAGATCGTGGATGCCCTTGATTACAAATGATGTTGGATCTTCACGGTATCATGACTATCATCTACTTCCTTGGCTTTTTTTTGGCAGTATCTACTTCCTTAGCTTAAATGTGTTTTAAATTGCGTTTTTATCTTGATTTCTTGATTTCTTCATAAACAATATTTGACAGGGAGTAATTCATACAAAGTATTTTGTCTTTGCGGACATTAAATTGTTTGTTTTGAGTTCTTCATAAACAATATTTGACACAGAAGATGATGAAGATCGATGGTTATGATGATTTAAGAACAGTTTGGAGTATATGCTACAAAATCAATGTACACATAACAGTCGACTGTCATTACAAGAAGAAAATAGAGAACGCCCTGCTCTGCTATTTGTATGTATTACATTGCTCATCACTCATTAACTATTCTACTTGTAATTTGGCCTTGCCAACTTCTCTCATATGCTCACAGATGACTGGTGGATGTCTGTTGGATCCTGTCATAACTTGCTGGAAATATATTTACTTGGAGAACTTTCAGACTTGCCAAGATGGGAGTCCTTATTCAGCAATTCACTTCTGTCGGCCATAAACTTAGCAAACCGGGAACCCTTTAAAACCTTCCCACCACCGTCTTCAGGAAGTAGCGGTGGATTAAGCAAAGAGGGGCTGGGTTTGGACGAAAAAGGAGGCGCCGATTCCCACAAAGCAGATAGCTGCTCGTTTGGTTCGTCAAGATATTTCAAAAGTGACAAGTCACGCATATCTGTTAGGAGAGAATAAACCAGAAAATATGATTGAGACAGAGAGAAACAATATCCTTCTCTTTCATTTTCTGAAAAAGGAGAACCCTTCCATGCATGATGGTTAAAAATTGAGAACCTAACAACAGAGATTTGGTCAATAATATCAAAATACCTTCAGAGAACTTAAAGATAGGCTTTAAGGCTGCACAGGGGATGCTGAAGTTCAAACAAGGTATAATAGTCCCTCCACCATGTCTGGAATTGCTATGCAAACATTGAGTACCAAAGATTTTTTAAAAGATCACAACAACAACAAACAACAACAATAACAATAATAATCTTATAAGAATAATGTGATGGTCAACATAGTCAAGAACCTCAGGAGCAAACAAAAAAGCAGACGATAATAATGGTATTGTCTGCATGCATGCCAATGGTGATATTACAATTGCAAGTTACGAATATATAAAAAATTGAAGTCAGAAATTACTTGCAATACTAGAGTATAGTGCGAAAATACAAAAAAAAATGAAGTCAGAAATTACTGTTGTTTGCATCTATACTCAACGTTAATGATGCAGACCAATTCATATTCGTTCCAAAGACATGAATAAGGAATGCAGTCATGCACTCATAATCAACCTAGATAGAATCAACTCACTCCATTCCTATTTATCCATCTATATTGGCCAATTTTCCTTGTTCCTTTACATCTGTCGATCTATATAATCTATACATACATACGCAGTACAACGTATATTTTTCCCAATAACCCTCTTTCCCAAGAAGAGCATACATGGAAGGGAAGATTTTAATGAGGGCGTTTTAGATCAAGTATTAAAGGTTTGGATTAATCCATACCTGGTGACAAGGCCAATCATGAGCCCGTCAGAATTAACAACTGCTCCACCACTACTGCCGGAATGTACTGCTGCTGTTGTTTCGAGCAATGCAGGAAAATGTCTTTCTCGAGTGATCTGGTAGTGCACAGACCTCTTCGCTTCAACTACCTTAGCTATCACACCAGAGCAAGCAGATGGAAGCAATTCTAAAACAAGACAGAAGTAAATATTACAAATATATTAAAAAGACTGTATATAATGGCCTTGTTTGGCACATATGCCGTTAGCCAATAGCTGATTGTATTAGACTAGTTTGGCAAACCAAACTCATCAGCTAGTTGATAATTCTGTTAAGCGCTTTAGTTAATGACCTCGTCCAAGGGCATGAACGAGAAGAACCACAGGTAAAAGATGAATTATTCGAAGCTATTTTAATTGCCTGGGAAGAGATGAACGAGACTAGAGGCTTAAACGATAATTACTTTTCCCCGACCTAGTCAAGAGAACTCATAATCAACCAAAAGCCGTTTATTAAAATTACTGGGATCCCCTTAAATAGAAATTAAGGGTTTCCTAAAAACAATTAGGAAACTAGTTGCTAATTCAAACATAACTCTAATAATGAAATATTAGGAAACTAGGTGCTAATTCAAACATAACTCTAATAATGAAATACTAATTAAAGAAGGACAAATTAAAATAATCCTAATACTAATATGACTCTCATGACTTTCTTAATCTTTCCCTTAGCCACTTGGATTGCTAATCATCTCTGCTCCTCTTTGTCCCCTGCGTGCATATGTGCGACCAAAGAATTGATCGCTAACAAATTCGTAAGTCAAATAGTATTAAGAAGATAATTTATAACTAATAGCTGATAAGCTAGCTAATCTCATAAACTGTTTGGTAGAAAGTAGCTGATAGGGATAGGTTAGACATACAAAATGACGTAAAAGGATACAATTGAAACAATTTATAAATAAAAATGACGCTAAATGGAAACCTATATATATTGAATATAAAGACATATCATTAGCCTTATTAAAAGAGCTGATTCATGGGCTTATAGATAAGCTCGAGCTTTTTAAATAAGTTGGCTCAATTAAACAAAACATATTTAAATAGCGCTCTTAAAAAACCAATTGCTGGATTATGGCATTCCAAACATAGCCCTAGATGTTTTAACCAGCTCAGTGCGATAAAAAATCTATCTTGTTGGGAGTAGAGCTTTTTGTAAAACATCTTTTTGGAAACAAAAAAAACTCTTCCAATATTATGTATACCGAACAGAAAATCTCCAAAGAGCTGATAGCAAACATGCCCAATATTCTTTTTAGAGGGACACAGGGTGAAAGATCTTATTTACCACATCGCGGTCCAAACAGACCATGACCAAGAATGTAAGCCTTTGATCCAGGGGAAGGGGCTGTGAAGTCCACAGAAATGGGGCAAAGCTGATGCGGAACGAAATCAAGTTGCAGTAGTGCAACATCTAGTGGTCCTTTTGAAACATGAATAACCTTTGCATCAGTCCATACCCATGGATCCATAGAATCCAAGCGTACACGTATACTTCTGTGGTCTTTTCTTCCCAGGTTGATACTAAACCCTATTTCAACTTTATCACCACCTGGACATTTGCTTTGATCATAGGGCGTAACAGCAAACTCGGGTGTTGCCTTATGTGTTTCGCCAATTGTGGGTGTCTTTCTGAATCTCCATGGCTCAAGAAGGTGAGCATTTGTAAGAATAAGGCCTTGTTTGTTGAGCAAAATACCAGAAGCCCATGCCCCATCATTCACAGTGATGAGACAAACAGAAGCTGTTGCCTTCTCAATTTTGGATGAAGATGGAGGACCTGAAGGGATACATCCATGAATGTCATTTGTGGATCCAGTGTTAATACTCGAGATTCCTTTGTCATGGTGCGTGCCATTCTGAATACATTGAGGATGATTCTGCAGCAGATCACAGCAGGCAGATGCAATAGCTTCCCATGGGATAATCATCTGTCACCCAAAGTTTAAAAAGTATACCAAACAATTGCTTCCTATACGTAACCAAAAAAAGAATAA